CATCATATAGGTAAATAAAGTATCCAAAGTCACAAGTCTAGTGAGAGGAAGAGGGCTGGATTTGAATCCAGGTTGTCTAATATTTTGAAGACTTCATTCTTACATACTGCTATCAACTATGACCTCACTGTTTACTATTTCAACTAAGTAAGGGGTAGGATCCAAATCCTACTTAGTTACTACCTGTGTGGCATTACGTAAGCCCTTTAAATTCTTTAAACCTCAGTTTCAGCTATGATGATAACGATAGTGCTTAACCAATAGAATTGTTAGGAATTAACATATGTGAAATGCTTAGAACAGAGTTTGGCACATACTTTTTTTTTGAGCGTTTTGTTTTTGCTATGGGTGTATGTGCTCACAGGGAAGACAGAGACACAGAAAGTGAGAAATTATCCCCCAAGGGGAAATGGCAACACTACAATTCCTTCTCCTCTTCTCTCCTCTGGGATCTTGGGCGCACGTGCACTCACTCAGGTCAGGTATGAGTTTTAACCCACTGGATCTGGAAGTAGAACAGCAGTTGGCCACATGAGAATTCAGTGCCTTGACCACTACGCCACCTGCTGGCCCAGCACATAACATTTTGTTTACTAACAAGTTAGTTAAGGAGTTGTATTTTCTAAAAATTTTCAAACCTCATTAACGATCTCACACACAAATTTTGTGTAATTTTCAGAGGTTTTTTTACGCTTAAACCTAGATTGTAAATTGTTACTCCTTCTCACTGATGGAAATATGTTTAGATAACAGAAAAGCACAATCACTAACAATGTTGAAGAGTCCAACCCTTTCAATTTTCTTTCTGGGTGAGAAAAGAGCCAAACGTCTCCATTCATTCAGTCCTTTAACAAATATTCTTATGCCAGTACTATGTTAAGTCCTGGGACACTAGAAAAATAAATCCTCCCAATCTGAGAGGACTCTATTCACAGGTTTAGGAAGTATGAGGGCATGAGAAAGTTGTAGAGCTGTTTACAAACTTGATCCAGGCACTGTGGTAGGCACTGGGACTGACCAGTTAGATAAGATCCTTACCATTGAAAAGTACCCAGCAGGGAGACGAGCAGATGGTGTAATGGCTATGTCACTGGACTCCCATGTAGTCAACCGCAGTTCGAGTCCTGGACCCAGAGGCTTAAACTCACGCCGGGCGCGTGTGCGTGTGTGCCCAAGATCCCAAGAGGAGAATGGAGGAGAAGGGATTGCGGTGTGGCCACCCCCCCCAGGGGGTGATTTCTTGCTTTCTGTCTCTCTGTCTCTCTCTGTCTTTCTGGTGAGTGCATGCACGTTAGGGTAGAAATTCTAGACAGTATCCCTTCAATCTGGTAATTTACATCAGTTAACTTGTTAGGGTACAACAGAGGAAAAGCATGGATAGCCATAATAGAGTGAGGGAAATGTTGGCACCTGAACACATTTTTTTTTAGGAATCAAGGAAAACAGAAACTAAGCAACCTGACAATCTGGGGAAAGGGTGCTCCCTAAAGCTCAGATACTGGACAGTAGAGTGGCAGAGTGGGGAACTGCAAAGTCCTGGCAGTGCTGAAAGCATAAGGTGGGGAGGGGGGAGTTGGATGGAAAAGCAAACAGGACTAACAGGTTGAAAGTGTGTAAAGTCAACTGATGGGACCAATGTCAACAAACTACCAGGGCCAGGGCTGCACTCAGAGTGAGCAGTTTCCTTAGACTTCTTCCCAATAGGGGAGAGTAAGAAAAGCACCATCAAGATTCTCAAACCAAGGGATATGATAAATCTCTCAAAGAAACATATTGATCTTGACCAGAAGGGGAAGGATCCAGTTCTTTCCATGGCAATAGATTGCCTGCTTGCCTACCTCTCTTCCTCCTACAGACTAAATATAAGGACTGGCTCTGAGGTCTCAACTGATTTTAGACTGAAAACACATCTCACCCATGGCTTAAAATGACCTGTCAGCATATCCTTCTGCAACCTGTACGCCTTTATTCCTGAGTTTAAAAACCCAGGCTAGGGCAAACAGCATTCTGGGCTGTGCTCTGTAAAGTTGCCCATCGCAGAATTAAAACAAAGAATTCATAACTTCAGAAAATGGAGCTTTTTCTTTTCCATGCTGCTACCTGAAGGGAAGACACAGGACAGCACACACACTTCCTGTCTCTAGGTGGATGAAGATCTGACTTTCAGTCAAGCCAGTGATCGCCCCCTTGCATCTTCATGCAATGCACAGTGTCCTTTGCCTGCAGCCGGGGCTTGCTCCCTTGATGGAGAAAATACGGAATGACTGGATGCCAGGAAACAGGCACTGCTTTCTGGGTCAGAAGTTGGCTGGAGAAGGGCCCTGACTGCCAAGTAACTTGCAGTGATGTCAGAACCCAGCACAACCAGAGAACACCGGCCAGCCAGCCAACAAAAGACTTCACAACAGAAAAATCACAGAGCTGTGTTGCCAAAGCTGTTATTTCCGCCCCTGTCCTTTTCTTCTAATAGAAGAGAGCTGATATTTTGAAAGACACCCCCCCCCAACATTCCTTTCTCATTTTCCTCTTTCTTTGGGTTACAAAGTGTTAACTAGTGAGCAAACAGTTCTCTGGATGAGTCTTGTAGCAGTTCCTGGAGGCATCTTCTTTTGAGTTTCTTTTCAGAGCTGTCAGTGGAAGTCTCAGACATATATCAGAACAGGATATTTTTCCCAAATGTAAACATGTAACTTTGTGTTTGAGAGAAAGCAAGAACTATTGAGGAAAGGGAAATCCTTTCTCTTGCCCCATTCTTCTCCCTTTCACGGTAATTAACCATACTGAAATGAAAATTAAAAGTTTGGCAAAAAAAAAAAAAAAACTCCTTTCTTTTTCCTCAAATGGGGCATCATGGTTCAGTTCGAGCCATTTAGAGCCCTCAGTGATTCATAATTCAACTGGAAATTAATAAAACACAGCCCATTCTGGGAAATGAAGTTTGGATTAAAATCTTCTTGTTTTGGAATATATGATCCCCCCCCTTTCATTTGTGACAGTCAATTTTAAATGATGTCACTTCAAGGACATTTTCATTTCTCCCACAACATAGTACACGAAACACTTCCCTGTAAAACTGGCTCATTAGCCTGCAAAATTATACTGTACTGAATGGCTTTCATTCAAAGTAGAAATGGGATTTTTAGTAGGCAATTTCTGTATTTTATAAAGATAAAGCAATGTTTGATTGCTTCTTCCCAGCTGTTTTGCTTAGTGGTTATAAAGAGAAATTGGGGGAGGGGGATAATTGCGGGGCGGGTTTGTAAGGATGTGCTTTAAAAAAAAATAAATCCTAGGTTGGAAAACTAAGTCAGAACTTTACGGAGCAACCGCGCCCGCAGCTCCACTGGGCTGCAAGGATTTGTCCTCTGGCTGGCTGGCGGAAAGCTCTGAAAGTGAGGGAGCCAGGG